CCTCGAGAACATGAAGAACACAAAACCAGAAACCAAGAAAATTGAAGAAAGGAAAAGGAAGTGTTAGAGATGAAATCAATACTTACACATGTTGATTAAGGTAGAGAGTTCTGAGAAGAGTCTGAGAAGTTGCTGGATGCTACGAATGCCAGAAACACCAAAAAGTTAGATTGCCGGAAATTTGAGAGTTCAGGGAGAGAGAATCGCAAAAAGTGGGGAAAGAGGAAAATGAAAGATATTTATAGGGCGGTTGATGAAGCCCTAGCCCTGCAATTAAAGGGGAAATCAACGGTCAAGATAGGACACGGAATTCGAAGCGGCAAAAGTAAGATGGAGGCGGCGAGTCACATCCCACCTACGAAAAATTTGAAATTCAAAAAAGGAAGATAGGGGACCATGTTTCGGAAAAATTATAAGTGTAAGCTTCGACTATAAATCAGGTCAAATAAAATAAATGGTCGACATGACGAGTTAAAAATAAAGATGAGACGACTCATCAGTAGGAAGCAGAGGACCTAGCTACCAAATTTACTCTTAAGCTCGAAATCGCTTAAAGTAATTTTGGGGAGGGGACTAGATGATATGGCCCTATTATCATTGTCCGGTTTAGATGCTAATTAGTCGACTCGACAAATGCTGCCGAAGATATAGTCGAGTCGAGATCTCCAAAGTCGACATGGCCTATCGGCCAGCTGAGGATCACCACCGGTTTGATGACGATCCCAAGAAGACTTTGGGAAGTCGACTGAGCATAAGTCGACTTACGCACTTGAAGACGAATAAGCATTCAGAGAGCCTTGGTTATACAAACGCGACCTTAGGTCGACTCGAGAGGCTCCAAATCGACTTATAAGACCTCCGACGACTCACATTTACTTCGATATCGTAGTAAGACCTCCTGAGTTAGAGAATCTGTATGAGATAAGAAGGAATCTAAAGGCTGACTCAGGAGTAGGCGGAATGCGAATCGACCAGGGCATTTTGGGCACTTCACGTAAGTCGGCCAGGGCATTTCAGGTGTTTCCAGTAAGTGTTTCTACTTCTATATAAAGGAACTGAGGTAACTCCAAACCCTAAATTTCATTCTCTCTATTCATTCTTCAGTTGCTGCTCCTACTGAGCAGAGCTCATCTTCTTCCATTTGACTGACTTGAGAGTCAGAGGCTCTCACCGAAAACACCTCCGGTGTTGAGTTCTTGCAGGTGTTTGCAGCGTTTCACGGACGACTTGGAGACGATTCAAACAGACCGGAGCTCATTTCCATCGGTTCACTCCAGATCTAGGAGGAGACCCATCACTTATGATGATGATGATGATGATGATGATGATGATGATGATGATGATGATGATAATGATGATGATGATGATGATGATGATGAGCAGATGTATGACTCGGACTCTGTTGCAGCTGAGCAGCCACAGCAGCCACAACCACAACCACAGCCACAGCCACGTCCACGTCCAGGAAAATAACTCCGCCGATCTGCCCATCCATCCTCAGGTAAATGATTTGCGTATTTATCATTGATTTGACAATTTTTTTACATGTTTTTTTTCAATGTGTGATATATTTACTTCCTTAAATAAGTATTATTGTATAAATTGGACTATATATAGGGCAAAATAGTCTATTTAAATTATTAAAAAATAGATAAGCAAATTAATGTACAATATTTTTATTTATTTTTAATTTTGTAAATCAAAAATAGAAAAAATAAAAATACATTGTGATTAAAAATGAAAATATGGTTGTTTATATTGTCTGTATTTTGTAACTTAAATATATATAAAAAAATTTAAATATAATTATTAAAATAAAACATTATCAGTCGTACCTATTATTGAGTTAACATTTACAGGAATGTCATACCCTATAAAATTAATGATAGAAAATATACAAATATATAGTATATATATAAAATAAATGAATAAATTTATATTAATTAAACCGGTTCGACCGTTGGTTTGATCAGTACCTTACCGGGTCGATGACCGGTTCGTTTTTTCAGAACCACCATTAGATATTTTCTTATTTGACAATAGCATGTCATTGATACATTAAACCATAATAAGTCGTATATATATTGATTGTTCTATTCTAATACAGGTACGAGTAGCAACACACTAAGGGTGATGACTGGATCGTCAAAGGGCCAGTGTCCGGTGGCCCTGTTGACAGGAGTGTGATCCCTAGCTTTCTAGGGCACGTAGCCTCTAAGATGTGGGCAGGAGAATTCAGAGGCATGTTGAAATGCCAAAATAGGATGGCAACGTACAAGAGTTTGAAGAATTGGCTCCAAGAGATGAGTCCGGCTCCGCGTGCCTTGATCCGTGACATCGAGATTTCACATTTGGCCTTCTGTATGCATACTCACGTCGACACTCCACTTCTCTGTGCATTTGTGGAGCGCTGGCAGCCAGATACGAACTCATTTCACCTGCCTTTTGGTGAAATGAGTATATTGTTGCACGACGTGAGGGTCATTTTAGGGATTCCTGTGGACGGAGCGGTAGTCACCGCGGACCCCAACATTGTCGCATGTCAGGCATACTGCATGGAGCTCTTGTGGGTGGACCAGGATACATTGAGGGCCATATTATGGAGCCACAGTTCGGTGAGCCAAGATGATGTTTTTCATGCATTGATGGGGGAGGCCGGCGCAAATAGGTCAGCTCCGCATGTAGTAGCTGGCTGGATGTACGTTCTTCTCGGTACCACCTTGTTTACGGATAAGAGTGGTAACAGGGTCGGTCCCAAAGTCCTGCACGAGCTACTGGACGACATGAAGACGTACAAAGTTATTCTTGGGGCTCCGCAACACTGGTGTACCTTTACAGACAGTTGGGTATCGCCAGCAGGGGGAAGTGTGGGGGACTATCGGGCTGCTTGACTCTCCTGCAGTCCTGGTTATATTAGTACTTTCCGACCCTCCGACCCAAGCATCCGCGTATGACCCTCTCGCCTGGCTGTGACGCGCGGTCAGCCTTGTGGACCACCTCTATCCCAGATAAGGTAGATGCGCGTCTTGAGGATTTCTGGAGGCAGATTGACACACTCACCGCTGTCGATATACGTTAATTTATTTTATTGACATTTAGGTGAAAGTTATTTCAAATAATCGAATTGTTTGAATAAATGGTTTTATGCAATTTTGAACAAATGAACTGGCTGCCATACAAGCGCAAGCCACATGAGGTAGAGCATAGGACCCTTTATTTCAGATACCTTAGGTACTGGGATATTGTGGAACCCTACATGCCTCTGTGGTGTTTGCGTCAGTTGGGCTACGTCCAGATTGTCCCTCCTGGCATTTACCGTCCGACACAGGTAAATAGGCCTTGGCAGTCTCAGTCGTACACGGTTGAGCATGCTGATAATGTACTCGGGGATAGCTAAA